CACCGGTCTGGGACTCGAACCACTATCAGCCATGCGAGAGTCCAGTGCCATAACCACCATGCCACCTGATGACCCTGGTCTTTTTTGTTTTTTGTTTTTTTTTTAGCCAAAGATGCCAAGATAATCCAGTGGAGGAAGGGATAAGCTTTTCAACATATGGTGCTAGAACTGTTGGAACATCCATATACAGAAAAAAAAAAAAAAAGGGAGGAGGAGCCTCAAAGCTTTCCTGCTCTACACAGATTAACTAGAAATAGGTCATCTGCAGTGACACAGTAGTAACAATGCTCAGTGATGTTGAGACCACATGGGAAGGTCCTGAGTTCATGTCCTGAGGTCCCCTTGTACATGGTAGGTGTAATGTGTGTGCCCATGCAACCATGATCCTGGCTGGCTAGGGGTAGATCACAGCATAAAGACCCTGTTGTGGATGGCTTTGTCTGTCTCTGGCTCTCATGGGAGAAATGAATGAATAAACTTAAAAAAAATTAACTAGAGGGGCTGGCAGGTAGTGTGGTAGTTAAAGGCAGACTCCCACATGTCTAACCATGGTTCAAGTCCCAAACCTGGTGACTTTCTCATTTTTCCTCTCTCTCTCTGTCTCTTTGTGATCAAACTGGAAAATAATAATAAATAAAGTTAAATAAAATAATTCTTAAAAAAAAAAAAGCTGAAATTGATCCTAGACCTATGTATAAGAGCTAAAGTTATAAAGAACTAGAAGAAAATCCTCATGCTCTTTGGGTGGGCACTGAGCTTTTAGATAGCACAGAAAGAGCACAAACCATAAAACAAAAAAGTATATTAGACTTTATCAAAATTAAAAACTTTTACTCTTCAAAAGAATTTTTTAAATTTTATTAGGTTTGTTTTTTTTTTTTTCTCTTTAAGTTTGATATAGGGCACATGCACTAACCAGAGAGAGAGAAAGTGAGAAAGCAAGCCACCAGGTCTGGGACTCTAACTGCAGTCAGCCATGTGGGAGTCCAGCACCTTAAGCACCATGCCACCTGCTGGTCCCCAAAAGAAACTCTTTTAAAAATGAAAGAGAGGGGCTGGCAGGTGGCATGATAGTTGAGAGGCGGTTGGACCTGGCACAGGGCTGACCATGCAATTTGAGTCCTGGACCTGGCGGTTTCTCACTTTGCCTCTCTCTCAGTCACTCTCTAGTCAACTTTAAAAAAATAAAATAATGATGATGAATAAAACTGAATAAAATAACTGTTTTAAAATATAAAATAAAATAAAATGAAAGAGAAGTCACAGGCTAGGAGAAAATATTTATAGAATATGTATATATTTATATATAAATATATTTACATTTTTTATTTATATATTTTATATAAATATATATTTAAATATATAAACATGTTTTAATATTTATATATTTGGGTAAAGAAAACTTGGCTCCAGAATAAATGAAGAATTTGTATAACTTTATAAAAAGATTACAACCCAATTAATGAGTAAAAGATTTTTTTTAATTATAAATTTATTATTATTTTTAAATTCACCGGGGGGCCAGCAGGTGGTGTGGTGGTTGAGGCACTAGACTCCCACATGGTTAACTGTGGTTCAAGTCCCAGACCTGGCAGCTTGCTTTCTCACTCTCCCCTTCCCCCTCTCTGTCTCTCTTAGTGTCTCTCTCTGGTAATATTTAAATAAATGAATAAATAAATAATTAAATAATGATTTTTAAAATTCACCAGGGTTGCAGGGAAGTGAAAAAGCAAGTTATCAGGTCTGGGTCTCAAAATGCAGTCAGCCATGTGGGAGTCCAGCGCCCCAATCACCACATCACCCGCCGGCCCCATGAGTAAAAGATCCGATCACTGGCCAGCCAGTGGTGTGGTGGTTAAGGCAGCTAGATACCACGTGACTGACTGCGCTGAGTCCCAGACCTAGTGGCTTGAAAAACATACCAGGTATGTGTGCATATGTGCCTGAAGTCCAAAGAGGAGACTGGAGGAGAAGAGATTAAGGCATGGCCATCCCCTCTGGGGATACTTCTTCACTTTCCCTCTTCGTCTGTCTGTCTCTATCTCTCTAGCAAGCAAACATGCCCCAAAGTAGACTTAAAAAAAAAAAAAAGGAACAGATAAGTCACTAAGGATAGATGGCTAGCAAAATATGTGGAAAGATACTTATTATTAAACATTAGAAAAATGCAAATTAAATATCAATGAGAAACTACTGCAGACCTACCTAGAATGGCTAAAAGAATATTTTTATGATAGTAACTAGTGGTAGCTAGTTTGCAAAGCTACTGAAATTCATATTTATTAGTGGGAATATAAACTTCAGAAAAAGGTGATAGCAACTTGTAAAGTTAAACATTATTTACTCTCCCTGTGACCTAGCAATCTTACTTCTAGATACTTACCTACAAGATATAAAAACATAAAACAGGTCTACACAAAACTTGTACCCTATTCCTAATGTAAAAAACTGGAAGCAATGAATATATCCATATAATGGAATACTGTTGAGCAACAAAAAGGAAAGAGTTGATGCTCACAGCAACCTGGATGCGTTTCAGAAGTACAGTAGTAAGCTTGTGAAAGGAACCAGACACAAAAGGCTGTAATGTATTTCTACTCTTGGAAGAGGCAAAACTATAGGGATAGAAATCAGATGAGTAATTGCCGGGGCCAGAATACTGACTGGGGTTGAAAAACTGACTACATAAAGAGCATATAAAATGTACAGGAAGAAGTCCCCCACCCTACAGAGATTTTTGCTATAGGGTGCATGTGGTCTCTAGAGAGAAAAAGAGACAGAAAGTGAGAAATCACCGCATGGGATTGGGGGTGGGAGGGTGGCCATGCCACAGTCCCTTCTCTTCCATTCTCCTCTTGGGATCTTGGGCACACATGGACGTGAGTTTGAAGCCACTGGGTCCGGGACTTGAACCACAGTCTACTACATGCAAGTCCAGTGATGATGTAACCTTTACACCATCTGCTGGTCCCATAGATGAAGAATTTAAAATATTGCTTTTAAGAATGTACTCACCACCTAGTTTAAGCACTTGAACATCACCAGACATTTCCCCAGAGATCATCACCAGAGACTTCAGAGATTGAAGTCTCTCCTGAGTGTGTCTCTTCAATCACATCCCCAACCCCCTCACTGGGGCTCCCCAGAAATGACCACGGTCCCAGATTTTATACTGATCTCCTGTATAGTTTCACTGCATATTTGCGTGTCTGGACAATATTGTATTTAGTTTTGTCTAAGAGTAATTTCATTTAAAAGGAATCACACTACATACATATTCTTCTGCCTGACTTCTTTTCCTGAAATGTTCTGTTCTGGGGATAAACCCATGCTGTGTGAACTAACGTTAGTTAGTTCATTAGTTAGTACAAGTGATCAGTATTTGATTTTTACGTTACTCGTAATGAGCACTTGGAGTCTATTACAACAGTGCTGCTCTGCGTGTGCATTCCTGAAAGTCACTCCTGGAGGACGCCGGCAGAAGCTTCTGTAGGGCCTATGTAGCTGGAAGAGCTGCTAGATGGGAGGGGCTGTGCTGGTTTAGGTTTGACCTGTAATGCCAGGTCAACCGTGTCGTCCTAAGGTTCTCTACCACTGCACACTCTCAGACGACTAAAGGGGATTTGCCTTGTTCTCGTCCTCTGCAGTGCTTGGCATCATTGAAGGTTTTCATTTTAACCAGCCCGGTGGGTGTGAAGCGGTTCCTTCTCTCTGATATGGCGGCTCCTCTCTTTACATTTGCTGCCGTTGCATTTCACCTCGTGTGATGCTTGTGTTTGCCCTCAGCCCAGTTGTCTGCCACCATCTTAGTAATGGACCTGTTTCCTCACTGACATGTGATTCCAGCTTTGTCAGGAATCAGTTCCCATGTGTGTGCAAGAGAACAGATGGCCCTTCTTTCTGACCTTTGGTCTGTTTGTCCATCCTGTGGCAGTACATGCCATCTTTACACTAAACCTCGGTCCTGTAGGTTCTGGTCTCCTCCTCGCTGCCTTGGTGCCATTTACTTACTTCTAAAGGTTCTGTAGAGGGATGATCCGATGACTAGGCCAGCCCTTTTTTTTTTTCTCTCTTTTTTAAATTTCTAAATTCAGTTAGTTACCCACTTACCCCTTCAAAGACAAAACAAGGTGTATTTTTTAGAATTATTTATTTAAATTTATTTATTTTAACTTGATCAGAGAGTGACACGGAGAGAGAGAGAGAGAAAGTGAGAAAGCAAGCCACCAGGTCCAGGGCTTGAACCGTGTTCCAGCACCCTAACCACCACACTGCTGGTCCCCACAAAACAAAGTATTTTGGGACCAGCAGTTAGTGTAATGGCTATGTCGCTGGACTCCCACATAATCAACCGGTTCATGTCCTAGACCCGGTGGCTTCAAACTCACACCGGGCGCATGTGCGTGCGTGCCCAAGATCCCGAGAGGAGAATGGAGGAGAAGGGATTGTGGCATGACCATCCCCCCTGGG